TTCACAAAGTCCTCCACAACCAGGGGCAGGTGGGCGAAGCCAGGGGCTCTGACAAGTTCGTACACGGAGGGCTGTGGGAGGCAGGCCCGAGGCAGGACATCAGCTCTGGCGCTGCAGACCCCTGGCTGTTCTGAAATGCCCTCAGGGATCCCCTGGGCTGGGGAGTCCCACCGCCATGCGGGGAAGAGATGAGAAGGCCAGAGGCATGGTCACTATGGCTACATTTCCCCTAGGATAGCCAGAATGAGCTGGGATAGCAGCTTGGGGGGGGGGAGGAGCCCAAGGGGCTGTGGGCTTTCTCAGGTGCCCCAGGCTGCGCGCTGGGAGCCCTAGCAACTGGGGAAAGCAGGTTGCAGCGCATGACTCTGCTCCTGGCGTCCTGACCAGGGGGTCCTAGCCTGTCCGTGCAGCACTCACCCCTGTCAGGCTGTAACCGGTGAACACCCAGGACCTATCCTCACCAGTGGCACAGCACAGGGCAGCAACACCGTGGCCAATGGCACAGATGGGCTCTGAAAGCAGCAAAGCACCTGAGGAGCCTGGCCTCCGCTTCCCCAGGCATGCCCTGTCCCGTGGCTGGGCCAGCCCACACCCCGAGGGGCTGTGCGGAGACCCAGCCAGTGTGCATGCCAGTCCTTCAGGACCGTGCCACCACAGCCAGCAGGCCAGATGCCTGGTGCTCCAGCAGGACCCCAAACAGCACCTGCTGAGGCCAGCAGGGGCCAGGAGGGAGCCTGAAGAGATGTAAGACAGATGGGAGACAGCCGTACTCTCATGGGTAACCTGTCACCGCTACAGGAGGCGAGGCGAGCTGGCACAGCTGGCCTGAATCCCGCACCGCCTGTGTGGCGTGTTCCTCAGCTCCCCACCATCAGTGCTCAGCCACCCTCGACTCCCACCCAGACACCTGCCCTCCTGCCCGTGCGGCTCCCTGTCACCCACTGTTCTCGGAGCGGAAGTGCTGCAGAATGCGGGCCAGGGACCCACTGCTGGCCAGGTCAGCCAGCGCGCCAGGACAACTGGGGATCAAGAGGGCGTGGTACCGGGCACCTGGGGAGAGATCACAGGCCAGAGGCCCCGCCTCAGTCACGAGACCCTCCAGAGAAATCCGCTGCCCAGAGGGATCACTCACTGTCCTCATGCGGGCTCCAGCAGGCCACCCTGCCGTCTTGTCTCCACCACCCACCTCTCCACGAGGAGCTCAGGAAGCACCGGTCCCCAGACCCAGGCTGTGATGTGGAGACTGGTCTATAGTCCCAGTCCCAGCCCCGTCAGGAATGGATCCCAGCCCACCGTCAATGGATTCCAGCTTGGCAGGGCTGGCATAAGCCTTGAGACGGAAGTCTTGTACCCAGCGTGCATTGCTCTCAGTCACATCCACGAAATCCATGGCCTTTCCCTGTGGGAGCAGAACCCAGAGGCCAAGGATCAACACGTGAACCATCCATGTTCTTAACAACCAGGGAGCCTGGAAACAGGACAGGGGAGCCACCTGACAGAAGCTGTACCCCCTCCCCCCCGGCTGTCACAGTGAGCCAGCCTCCAGTGTGAAGCCCAGGGCAACCACATCTGCTGGCACACCTGTCTCTCTTGGCCCTTGGCCTCCCCACTTACAAAGGTACAGGAACTGTTCTACCCACCTCAAAACACACACAGTCACACGTGTGCAGTTCACCCTTGCTCAGACCTACCTACATCCGCTGCCCGCTGAGGGGTGGCAGTACTCACCCCAGGGGTGGCCACCTGCAAATTGAAGGCAGCACTGGCCAATGTGAAGCAGTGTTGGAAGGACTGGGCCGACACACCTGGAGAAGAGGGTACCTGCTGGCGGTGGGTATACAGGCCTAGCCTCCTCTCACCCCTCGGGCTGCCCCGACACCACAACTCTCCCTTAGAAGCCACCCACCTTCCACAGGCATGCATACACCCTCAGCAGAGCAGGAAGGTAAAGCTTAGAGGCACACACAGACATGTGTGTGCTCTGCCAGTCCTGGCCACTGCCCGGGAAAGACCCACAGCCCTCAAGGCAGGATCTCTCCCAGCCCGGCACCCCGCCCTCAGGCCTCCAGCTGGAATTGGGGGCAAGATCCAGCCTACTTCAAGTGCCATGCACCTGCTCCTGACCCCCCATCCTCACCCCTAGAAGCCTTTCTAAAAGCTAAAGCTCAGCTCACCCACACATAGCAACCCTGAGCAAGGCCACCACGGTGGAGGCGGGGCAGTGGGGAGGGGCAGCTGGAGAACACCAGGTCCTAACACCCATCATGTGCAGGTCCCTTCCCCACAATGGCCTGAGATTCTAGCCTTCAGCTCTCTCCGGTTTCATTCTGTGGAAAGAACCCTTCAGAGAGGAACAAGGCGGGCCTGGTGTGGTTGCAGGCCTGAACCCCCGAAAGGCTGAGGCTCGATCAAGACTTGAGTTCAGCCTGGGCTCCACCAAACCCTGGCTCCACAAAACAGCCTCCCATACCACCCCTCACCCTGGCTGCCCCTTCCCTGGGGCACAGTGGGCCTGGTACTCATGCTAAGATGCGGGGGCCCGTCCCTGGACCTGTGGTGACCGGCTACTGGAATCCACATTCAGACACAGTGGCCCTGCATGTGAGCTGCGGGGGGCCCCCACCCCTCAGCAGTGGCTAGGCCCCCCAGGCCCGCAGGGGACCCCACCCCTCCGCTTCCCCATGGCCCTGTCCCCCCTCCCAGCAGGCCACCCTGCCCTACCCTCCCCCCCCATGCGGGCCCCAGCTCAGCCAGCACGGGAGGACCAACTTTGTGGCACACGCCCCGAAAGAGCCCGAGAAAGGGGCGCCCCCTGCTTCACCCAAGCAGAGATCGGCGGGGTGACCCTGACCCCAGACCGGGGTGCAGTTCTACTGCGGGCTTCCGCCCCGCACCAGGCCCCCCCCTCTCAGCCGAGCTCCGAACAACGGCGGGAGAGCGGCCACGTCTGCTCCGCGCGGGGCTCTCCCCGTGGGAGCCCCCGGCGGTGCCCTTCCCGGAGGCCGGGCCCACGCTGGGCGTCCGGGAACCTGCGAGTCGCTGGCAGCCGCCAGACCCCTGTGCCCAGACCCCTTCCCCCGCGCCCAGACCCCTTCCCCCGCGCCCAGACCCCCGCGCCCAGGCCCCTTCCCCCACGCCCAGGCCCCTACCCCCGCGCCCAGACCCCTACCCCCGCGCCCAGACCCCTACCCCCGCGCCCAGACCCCTACCCCCACGCCCAGGCCCTTACCCCCGCGCCCAGGCCCCTACCCCCGCGCCCAGACCCCTACCCCCGCGCCCAGGCCCCTACCCCCCGCGCCCAGGCCCCTTCCCCCGCGCCCAGGCCCCTACCCCCGCGCCCAGACCCCTACCCCCGCGCCCAGACCCCCGCGCCCAGGCCCCTTCCCCCGCGCCCAGGCCCCTACCCCCGCGCCCAGGCCCCTTCCCCCCGCGCCCAGGCCCCTTCCCCCGCGCCCAGGCCCCTACCCCCGCGCCCAGGCCCCTACCCCCGCGCCCAGACCCCCGCGCCCAGACCCCTACCCCCGCGCCCAGACCCCTACCCCCGCGCCCAGACCCCCGTGCCCAGGCCCCTTCCCCCGCGCCCAGACCCCCGCGCCCAGGCCCCTACCCCCGCGCCCAGGCCCCTACCCCCGCGCCCAGATCCCTACCCCCGCGCCCAGGCCCCTTCCCCCGCGCCCAGGCCCCTACCCCCGCGCCCAGTTCCCTACCCCCGCGCCCAGGCCCCTTCCCCCGCGCCCAGACCCCCGCGCCCAGGCCCCTTCCCCCGCGCCCAGGCCCCTACCCCCGCGCCCAGACCCCCGCGCCCAGGCCCCTTCCCCCGCGCCCAGACCCCCCCGCCCCCGCGCCCGGGCCCCTACCCCCGCGCCCAGGCCCCTTCCCCCGCGCCCAGGCCCCTACCCCCGCGCCCAGTTCCCTACCCCCGCGCCCAGGCCCCTTCCCCCGCGCCCAGACCCCCGCGCCCAGGCCCCTTCCCCCGCGCCCGGGCCCCTACCCCCGCGCCCAGGCCCCCGCGCCCAGGCCCCTTCCCCCGCGCCCAGACCCCCCCCGCCCCCGCGCCCGGGCCCCCGCGCCCAGGCCCCTTCCCCCGCCCCCGCGCCCAGGCCCCTTCCCCCGCGCCCAGACCCCCCCCCCCGCCCCCGCGCCCAGGCCCCTTCCCCCGCGCCCAGACCCCCCCCGCCCCCGCGCCCAGACCCCCCCCCCGCCCCCGCGCCCAGACCCCCCCCCCCGCCCCCGCGCCCAGACCCCCCCCCCCGCCCCCGCGCCCAGGCCCCTTCCCCCGCGCCCAGACCCCCCCCCGCCCCCGCGCCCAGACCCCCGCGCCCAGACCCCCGCGCCCAGGCCCCTACCCCCGCGCCCAGACCCCCCCCGCCCCCGCGCCCGGGCCCCTTCCCCCGCGCCCAGACCCCTACCCCCGCGCCCAGACCCCCCCCCGCCCCCGCGCCCAGACCCCTACCCCCGCGCCCAGACCCCCCCCGCCCCCGCGCCCAGACCCCCGCGCCCAGACCCCCGCGCCCAGGCCCCTTCCCCCGCGCCCAGACCCCCCCGCCCCCGCGCCCGGGCCCCTTCCCCCGCGCCCAGACCCCTACCCCCGCGCCCAGACCCCCCCCCCGCCCCCGCGCCCAGACCCCTACCCCCGCGCCCAGACCCCCCCCGCCCCCGCGCCCAGACCCCCGCGCCCAGACCCCCGCGCCCAGGCCCCTTCCCCCGCGCCCAGACCCCCCCGCCCCCGCGCCCGGGCCCCTTCCCCCGCGCCCAGACCCCTACCCCCGCGCCCAGACCCCCCCCGCCCCCGCGCCCAGACCCCTACCCCCGCGCCCAGACCCCTACCCCCGCGCCCGGGCCCCCCCGCCCCCGCGCCCAGACCCCTACCCCCGCGCCCGGGCCCCCGCGCCGGCCGCCCCCGCGCCCAGGCCCCGCCGCGGCGTCCCGCCGCCTTACCCTCGGCGGCGCCGCTGGCCACGAGGAGGCAGGCGGGACGAGTGGTCTGCCGCTCGGACGCCATGGCCGCGCGGACGTCGCGCGCAGCTGGGAGAAGCGGGGCGGGGCGGGGCGCGGCGGGTCACGTGCCCGCCGTCCGGGGCGGGGCCGAGGCGGAGCGCATGCGCCTCGGGAGCGCGGCCCGCGGCGCGCCGCCCGGGACGCCTGAGGTGAGGCGGAGGCCGCGGGGCGCGGGCCCGGCCGGGCTCGGGGAGCCGGCGGTGGAGGTCAGTGGGCGGCGGAGGAACATGCCGGGGCTCACGCCGGTCGTGCCGGCCCCTCGGGAGGCTGAGCCCGGGCCGAAACGGCCCTGAGACCCGGTCTAACAAGCCGCTCCGAGAAGCCGGCCGGGCCCAGAGCCACCGGGCGCCGGCGGGCCGAGTCCGGGCCCAGAGCCACCGGGCGCCGGCCGAGCTCCGGGCCAGAGCCACCGGGCGCCGGCCGAGCTCCGGGCCAGAGCCACCGGGCGCCGGCCGAGCTCCGGGCCAGAGCCACCGGACGCCGGCCGAGCTCCGGGCCAGAGCCACCGGGCGCCGGCCGAGCTGCGAGCCAGAGCCACCGGGCGCCGGCCGAGCTCCGGGCCAGAGCCACCGGGCGCCGGCGGGCCGAGCTCCGAGCCAGAGCCACCGGGCGCCGGCGGGCCGAGCTCCGAGCCAGAGCCACCGGGCGCCGGCGGGCCGAGCTCCGGGCCAGAGCCACCGGGCGCCGGCGGGCCGAGCTCCGGGCCAGAGCCACCGGGCGCCGGCGGGCCGAGCTCCGGGCCAGAGCCACCGGGCGCCGGCCGAGCTCCGGGCCAGAGCCACCGGACGCCGGCCGAGCTCCGAGCCAGAGCCACCGGACGCCGGCCGAGCTCCGGGCCAGAGCCACCGGGCGCCGGCCGAGCTCCGAGCCAGAGCCACCGGGCGCCGGCCGAGCTCCGGGCCAGAGCCACCGGGCGCCGGCGGGCCGAGCTCCGAGCCAGAGCCACCGGGCGCCGGCCGAGCTCCGAGCCAGAGCCACCGGGCGCCGGCCGAGCTCCGGGCCAGAGCCACCGGGCGCCGGCCGAGCTCCGGGCCAGAGCCACCGGGCGCCGGCGGGCCGAGCTCCGAGCCAGAGCCACCGGGCGCCGGCCGAGCTCCGAGCCAGAGCCACCGGGCGCCGGCCGAGCTCCGGGCCAGAGCCACCGGGCGCCGGCCGAGCTCCGAGCCAGAGCCACCGGGCGCCGGCGGGCCGAGCTCCGGGCCAGAGCCACCGGGCGCCGGCGGGCCGAGCTCCGGGCCAGAGCCACCGGGCGCCGGCGGGCCGAGCTCCGGGCCAGAGCCACCGGGCGCCGGCCGAGCTCCGGGCCAGAGCCACCGGACGCCGGCCGAGCTCCGAGCCAGAGCCACCGGACGCCGGCCGAGCTCCGGGCCAGAGCCACCGGGCGCCGGCCGAGCTCCGAGCCAGAGCCACCGGGCGCCGGCCGAGCTCCGGGCCAGAGCCACCGGGCGCCGGCGGGCCGAGCTCCGAGCCAGAGCCACCGGGCGCCGGCCGAGCTCCGAGCCAGAGCCACCGGGCGCCGGCCGAGCTCCGGGCCAGAGCCACCGGGCGCCGGCCGAGCTCCGGGCCAGAGCCACCGGGCGCCGGCGGGCCGAGCTCCGAGCCAGAGCCACCGGGCGCCGGCCGAGCTCCGGGCCAGAGCCACCGGGCGCCGGCGGGCCGAGCTCCGAGCCAGAGCCACCGGGCGCCGGCGGGCCGAGCTCCGGGCCAGAGCCACCGGGCGCCGGCGGGCCGAGCTCCGGGCCAGAGCCACCGGGCGCCGGCCGAGCTCCGAGCCAGAGCCACCGGGCGCCGGCGGGCCGAGCTCCGGGCCAGAGCCACCGGGCGCCGGCCGAGCTCCGGGCCAGAGCCACCGGGCGCCGGCCGAGCTCCGAGCCAGAGCCACCGGGCGCCGGCGGGCCGAGCTCCGAGCCAGAGCCACCGGGCGCCGGCCGAGCTCCGGGCCAGAGCCACCGGGCGCCGGCGGGCCGAGCTCCGAGCCAGAGCCACCGGGCGCCGGCCGAGCTCCGAGCCAGAGCCACCGGGCGCCGGCCGAGCTCCGAGCCAGAGCCACCGGGCGCCGGCCGAGCTCCGGGCCAGAGCCACCGGGCGCCGGCCGAGCTCCGGGCCAGAGCCACCGGGCGCCGGCGGGCCGAGCTCCGAGCCAGAGCCACCGGGCGCCGGCCGAGCTCCGGGCCAGAGCCACCGGGCGCCGGCGGGCCGAGCTCCGAGCCAGAGCCACCGGGCGCCGGCGGGCCGAGCTCCGGGCCAGAGCCACCGGGCGCCGGCCGAGCTCCGGGCCAGAGCCACCGGGCGCCGGCCGAGCTCCGAGCCAGAGCCACCGGGCGCCGGCGGGCCGAGCTCCGAGCCAGAGCCACCGGGCGCCGGCGGGCCGAGCTCCGGGCCAGAGCCACCGGGCGCCGGCGGGCCGAGCTCCGGGCCAGAGCCACCGGGCGCCGGCCGAGCTCCGAGCCAGAGCCACCGGGCGCCGGCCGAGCTCCGGGCCAGAGCCACCGGGCGCCGGCGGGCCGAGCTCCGAGCCAGAGCCACCGGGCGCCGGCCGAGCTCCGAGCCAGAGCCACCGGGCGCCGGCGGGCCGAGCTCCGGGCCAGAGCCACCGGGCGCCGGCGGGCCGAGCTCCGGGCCAGAGCCACCGGGCGCCGGCCGAGCTCCGGGCCAGAGCCACCGGGCGCCGGCGGGCCGAGTCCGGGCCAGAGCCACCGAGCCGAGCGGAGAGTGCCGGCTGGCCCGGGGCTGTCCAGCCTGGAGAGAGCGCTGGGGGGCTGGGAGGGGGCCCAGCGGTGGAGCGCTAGCCTGGCATGCCTTGGGCCCTGGGTTCGATGCCTCAGCCTCACACACGCAGGAAAAGCCCCGAGTGGCGCTGGCCCTGAGCTGAAGAGCTGAGGGATGGTGCCCAGGCCGAGTTCCAGACCCACGACCGACCAGAAAACAATGCCCAGTAGGAAATGATGACACATAGGTGAGGTCCCGGAAGGTCGTACGTCCCCTGGTACTCAGCCCGCAAGGACCCCAGGGAGGGATCTGTACAGAAGAGAAGGAGCTGCCCGCTGCAACCTCTGGATGTGTCTGTGTACGGGACACCATGGGAGACTTGGCAGTACCAACATTAAAGTCTCTCCTGTGCTGCACCTCTGGCCTCCAGGTCCATTCTTTGAGGTGGAACACCGACACGTGTCTCTCATGGAAGAGACCTCTCAGAGCAGCCTCAGCAGGACTGCTCAGAGACACTCCGCTAAAGTCACTTGGGTTTTGATATGCTCCAGGAAGAGTTTGGGTGTTATTTCCTGTAATAGTTCTATTATGGGATGTTGAGTTCAGAGGATGTTGGGGTCACAGCTGCAGTTGAACTGTCCAGGAGGGTCCTCATTGATCACCTAAAAGGCAGGCATCTTTAAAGCTTGGGCTAGAGGGAGGAAGGGAGGGCCATGCAGGTGGGGAACAGGGTAAGCCAGGCCTGGACCACTGGCCTCCAGTACAGCTGTCCTGCCAGCCTCTGCTCCGTGGAGCGCGTTTGCCCTGACTGGGAACAGCTGAGTAGTGAGGTCAAGCACAGGGGCTTCCCTGGGTACGCTCCACCCCACAATCCCTGGCTTCTGGAAACCCACACTGGGTTCCCAGTGTGGGACATAAGCACTGTGTCAGAAGCCTCTGCCTGTGGCAGGGGCAGTGCCTCCCCCCAGCTGCAGTGTGGAGGGAGCTGAGGGTTCCCATGCGGCCTGGGAAAGGGAGAGTCCTGCCAGGAGCTCCGGGCCCCAAACCCAGCAGGTGAGTGTGCTTGAGACCTGCACACCTGAGGCCAGGCCACAAGCTGTGCCTTGCCGCAGGCAAAGCATCCTAGGTCTGTAGAAGGTCCTGTCCCTGGATGGGTGCTAGGTGTCAAGTCTTGGTGCTGGAGGAACCAGGTGGCAACTGGAACCAAAGGCCCACCTACTTTCGGAGCCCTCCCCTCTGTGGGTGGCCCTCTACCCCACTCACATCCTGGGTTACGCCAGATTGCTCTCTGCTCCAAGAAGAAAGCCAAGGTTCTGGCCCTGACACCAGTACCAAAGCCGGTGTGTCAGCCTGCACGTGGGTGGTGGGGTGCAGCCTGTTGCATGCTTGAGGCCCCGTGCTTGCAAGGTGACCCGCATACCTCTGGGACCACGACCCTGGACCATGTCACCACGAATGGCATGTTTGTGAGTTGCCCTTTGGCTCCTTCGTGTGCAGGTCTGTGCAGGCTCTCAGACTCACGTGGAACTTGGCAGTGAGGCCTTGTGGGCCAGCTATGACAAAAGGGGTAGGGGCAGGCCAGGACCTGAGCCGGCCAGGCATCGTGAAGGTCCAGGGGCAGCAGTGGGCCACGCCTACATGATTGGTCTTCTGCAGTCAGTGGGAGCCTGACTCACAAGTCAACTGACCTGCATCTGTTTCAGGTTGCCTGGGGTGGGGATCCTGACTGGACGCATGTTTGTGCACCCAGTACCTTCCTGTTCATAGGCTGAGCCCTGCTCCCACGCCGCATGGAGTAGCAGCCCTAGAACTGATAACTGGGCTCGGTGGCAGGTCATGCCTACTCCTGGGGAAGAGTGGGCAGGTAACTCAGGGAGCCACGAACTGGACAAGTCTGTATCAGCAGCAGCCAGTCAGATACGAGTGCTGTCCCCTGGGAAGGACTCAAGGCCCATCCTGAGGGCTGTCCACAGTGGCCTGTGCTGTGGACCCTCTCCCTGCCACCTGAGCCACATCTCCACTCCCAGCTTTTGGCTATTTAGTTGGAGGGAAGAATCGCTCTACCTGGGTTGGCTTTGAACCTTGATCCTCCTGAGTAGCTAGGATTGTGGGCATGTGTCACCAGCACTCATCTGTACTGTTGCAGTTCTAAATCTAAATGTGCTTTCACGGAGCCTAGTAAATAAAGGTAGTAGAATGGGGGGGACGCCCGCAGCCAGGGCCTCAGACGCGCGGTCAGGAGGGTACTGCCTCAATCCATCTCAAGTCGAGTGTTGGAAAGTCTTTGTTTTAAGGTGAAGCCATGGGAGGGACAGATTGAAAGGGGGCCTGCCTGGGGTCAGGGAGCAGGTGGGTGACATGTCCCCAGCACCCGTGGCCAGGGGGCTAGGAGATGCATGCGGGCGGCATTTCCTTCCTGGGAGAGCCGAGCTCAGCAAAGTGGCCTCTTGACTTGTGGAAGAGCAGCCGGTGCTGGTGGTGATCAAGGAGAGATGGAGGGGTGGTTTGGGCAGGTGTGTGGAGTCTCTTGGGGAACTTTTGCTCTGTGGAGGTGCTCTGCGGTTGCTTGGGCTTGTGGTGTGGGCAGGCTACTGCTTGCGGAGGCCAAGCACACAGAGGCTGGGGAGAGAAAGCTGTGTTCCCTCCTGCCAGCTTTTGGAGGCCTGGGAGGAGGAGGTGGGCAAACTCCCACCCGCCAGCCTCAGGTCCCCTGGGTAGCAGAGCCCAAAAGGTCCTTCCAGGGCTGCACAGTTGGGCTCCCTGAAGACAGCCTCACCCCAGTCCTGCCCACTAGATGCCAAGGAGGTGACCAGAGGAAGACCTCCCTGAGAGCCATGAACGCGCAGCCTGAGGAGCAAGCCTCCTGCCGCAGGACCCTGTGGCCAGCAGCGCAGGCCTGGGGCTTCTCTTGCAGTGTTTATCTGAGGTCAGGTCCCCCAGGAATGCCAGAGGATTATCTGGGATGTAGGTTCTGGTGAGGCTGTGGGCAGGGCCCACCAGGATCAGGGGAGGGTTGGTGGGCAGGACCCACCAGGAGGACTTGTGTCTTCCCGCCTCTTCCCCGTGCAGCCCAGGGTATGGATCTGTTGTCCCCAACCATGGTTCAGTAGAAGTTCCTGTCCCTTTCCCGTTGCATGCAGGTGAGGATGCCAGCCCAGCCTTTAGACAACAGAGTTTATTTCAGACTCCACTCAGGCCCAGGCTCCTGCGGCCAGTGGCCAGGTGAGGGCAGTGTTCCCACCTTCCGGAAGCTGCCCGCTGCCACCACACCAGGGGGCGAGCTGGAACCTGACACGGAGGGGCTGCCGGGCCGGTTTTCCTGCAGGCAGTGGGTGGTGGTCACCCACAAGCAGTTCTATCTACCTGTGTTATTGCATTTATACGCTGTAGACTCAGGGTGCGAGGTGCAGGCAGGAGGGGGAGTCTGTTGGGTGTCGGGCAGGCGCAGCTGTGGGGTGCGGTCCTCCGTGTCCCCCTGCCTCCCAGGCTGTCCGTCACAGCACAGCTCCTGATCTAGGCAGGAAGGATGCCAGTCCCAGTAACAGGAGTTTCCCCAACATGGGAGGAAAGGCTAACTTTAGGGGAGGGTCCTTTCCCAAAACCAGCTCTTCGGCTCTGACTTTCCCACCTAGCCAGGGCACAGAGGGCAGGAAGAGGGAGCTCTACTGATGGGACTGCCCGCATCAGGTCAGTGGCCGGCATCAGCCCGGACAGCTCCCTGTGGCGGGGAAGGGCAGAGGTGGGGAAAGCTGGATGGCCACGCCTTCTCTACCCACGTGGCTGGCCCGCCCGCCAGCGCCCATCTAGACAGACAGGGTGTGGGGACTGCACACAGGGTCTGTCCCTTTGCGTTCTCAGCTGCCCGACCTGGGTGGAGACCTCCGTTTGTATCAGCTCCTCCTGCCCTCCCTAGAGCCGAGGGTCCTGCTACCCCCGGCGAGAGGGCGCGTTCCCGGGACAGCAGAGGGGCTCTCTGCCCTCTGTGGGGGGGGGCATATATATGTGTTTACCTATGTATCTATGATGGATGTGTGTGTGTAGATAGGTCTGTATGGACTCGCATGCACTACGTCCCCAGCTATGTCTGTACAATGCAGCTCTGTGCCTTCTCCTGGACACCAGGCGTTACTTTTTCCGAGCTAGGTAGGCCACACCAAGAATGAGGGCCATGGCTGCCACAGCCACACCCCCAGCCACCATCAGCGGGGTCAAGTTCTCACAGGGCCAGGGGCCGCGGCCCCCCGAGGGCCCTGTGGAGGGCTCGTCCTCCTCTGCCCCATCTCTAGGACCCTTGGGCTCCGGGGTTGCATCGGGACTCGGGGCCAGGGGGGCCGGTTTCAGGTTGCTGTGGTTGTTGAGAAGCGAAGGGTCAGCCTTGACTGGGGTCTTCTTGGCAGGGGTGGGTGAGGGGGCTGCCGGCTGCTCCTGCTTTTCTGCCTGGCTCTCTTTCTTCCCGGGCTTGGTCGAGGGGCCTTTCCCATCCACAGCTGACGTGGCCTTGGCTTCCGTGGGAGCCTGAGGCTTGGCATCTGGCTTGGGGCTGCTGGCCGACTTTCCCCTGGACTCCATGGCGAGGATGTGGGCAGCTGGCGGGGGTGTGGACAGGCAGATAACTGGACCACAGTATCAGGACAGCTCCCCCCTGGGCATTATATGGGCCTAGAGAGCAACACAGCAAGGCCGTGACAAGGGACACCTTTCCCTGTGCTCCACGGAGCCCTTCCCAGCTCTCTGGAGCTCCCAGGACCCCAGCTCTGAGGCCTCTGTGAGCCTCGGCCTGCCTCTTCCAGGGCCAGCCTCCACGGGCCCCTGGCCGCTCCAGAGAAGTGGCCCGACCACCCAGATGGCATGGAGAGAGGGAAGCAAGTGCACAAGTTCTCTGAGAACTGAAAGGAAACACTCCTGGTCAAGAAGGGGTGAACGCAAGGGTGGGTGGAGCCCCCGGGCACCAGCAGAACTGAGTGGTGCTGTCTGGAAGGGGGCGCGGGGGGCCGGGGCTGTGCTGTCTGGAAGGGGGTGTGGGGGGCCGGGGCTGTGCTGTCTGGAAGGGGGCACGGGGGGCTCGGGCTGTGCTGTCTGGAAGGGGGTGTGGGGGGCCGGGGCTGTGCTGTCTGGGAGGGGGCGCGGAGGGCCAGGGCTGTGCTGTCTGGAAGGGGGCACGGGGGGCCGGGGCTGTGCTGTCTGGAAGGGGGCACGGGGGGCCGGGGCTGTGCTGTCTGGGAGGGGGTGTGGGGGGCCGGGGCTGTGCTGTCTGGAAGGGGGCACGGGGGGCCGGGGCTGTGCTGTCTGGGAGGGGGCGCGGGGGGCTCGGGCTGTGCTGTCTGGAAGGGGGTGTGGGGGGCTCGGGCTGTGCTGTCTGGAAGGGGGTGTGGGGGGCTCGGGCCATGCTGTCTGGGAGGGGGTGTGGGGGGCCGGGGCTGTGCTGTCTGGGAGGGGGTGTGGGGGGCCGGGGCTGTGCTGTCTGGGAGGGGGTGTGGGGGGCCGGGGCTGTGCTGTCTGGGAGGGGGTGTGGGGGGCCGGGGCTGTGCTGTCTGGGAGGGGGTGTGGGGGGCTCGGGCTGTGCTGTCTGGGAGGGGGTGTGGGGGGCTGGGGCTGTGCTGTCTGGGAGGGGGCGCGGGGGGCTCGGGCTGTGCTGTCTGGGAGGGGGTGTGGGGGGCCGGGGCTGTGCTGTCTGGGAGGGGGCGCGGGGGGCTCGGGCTGTGCTGTCTGGGAGGGGGCGTGGGGGGCCGGGGCTGTGCTGTCTGGGAGGGGGCGCGGGGGGCTCGGGCTGTGCTGTCTGGGAGGGGGTGTGGGGGGCTGGGGCTGTGCTGTCTGGGAGGGGGCGCGGGGGGCTCGGGCTGTGCTGTCTGGGAGGGGGCGTGGGGGGCCGGGGCTGTGCTGTCTGGGAGGGGGTGTGGGGGGCTCGGGCCGTGCTGTCTGGGAGGGGGCGCGGGGGGCCGGGGCCGTGCTGTCTGGGAGGGGGCGCGGGGGGCCGGGGCCGTGCTGTCTGGGAGGGGGGCGCGGGGGGCCGGGGCCGTGCTGTCTGGGAGGGGGCGCGGGGGGCCGGGGCCGTGCTGTCTGGGAGGGGGCGCGGGGGGCCGGGGCCGTGCTGTCTGGGAGGGGGCGCGGGGGGCCGGGGCCGTGCTGTCTGGGAGGGGGCGCGGGGGGCCGGGGCCGTGCTGTCTGGGAGGGGGCGCGGGGGGGCCGGGGCCGTGCTGTCTGGGAGGGGGCGCGGGGGGCCGGGGCCGTGCTGTCTGGGAGGGGGCGCGGGGGGCCGGGGCCGTGCTGTCTGGGAGGGGGCGCGGGGGGCCGGGGCCGTGCTGTCTGGGAGGGGGCGCGGGGGGCCGGGGCCGTGCTGTCTGGGAGGGGGCGCGGGGGGCCGGGGCCGTGCTGTCTGGGAGGGGGCGCGGGGGGCCGGGGCCGTGCTGTCTGGGAGGGGGCGTGGGGGGCCGGGGCCGTGCTGTCTGGGAGGGGGCGTGGGGGGCCGGGGCCGTGCTGTCTGGGAGGGGGTGTGGGGGGCCGGGGCTGTGCTGTCTGGAAGGGGGTGTGGGGGGCTCGGGCCGTGCTGTCTGGAAGGGGGTGTGGGGGGCTCGGGCCGTGCTGTCTGGAAGGGGGTGTGGGGGGCTCGGGCCGTGCTGTCTGGAAGGGGGTGTGGGGGGCTCGGGCCGTGCTGTCTGGGAGGGGGCGTGGGG